CAGGAAAGGCGCAAAGCTATGCAGAGAAACCCTGTCTCAAAAAAACAAAAAAACAAAAAAAAAAAAAAAGAGTTATAGAAATAAGAGAATGGGAAAAGCCCAGAGGCAAAAGGTAGATGGGATAATTTAATGAAAGCTGGCTAGAAACAAGTCAAGCTAAGGCCAAGCATTTATAATTAAGAATAAGTCTCAGTGTGCGATCTATTTGGGAAGTGGGTAGTGGGCCCCCCAAAAGAGCAAAAACAACAGTTGAACATTTCTTTAAATGTTTCTCAGCCATTTGTGTTGCATTTTTAAAGAACTCTGCTTAGTTCTGTACCCCATTTTTAATTGGGGTTATTTATTTTCTTGATGTAAAGTTTTAAGCTCTTTATATAATTTAGCTATCAGCCTTCTATCAGATGTGTAATTGGTAAAGGCTTCCCCTTCTGTGCACTGTGAGTCTGTCCTATTGACAGTGTTTTTGTCTTACAGAAGCTTTTCGGTTTCATGAGGTCCCGTTTATTAACCATTGATCTTAGTGCCTGTGCTAATGGTGTCCTGTTCAGAAAGTTGTCCCCTGTGCCAATGCGTTCAAGCCTATTCCCCACCTTCTCTTCTAGCAGGTTCAGTGTATTTGACCTTAGGTTGAGATCCTTGATCCATTTGGAGATGAGTTTTGTGCAGGGTGATAAATATGGATCTTTTGCATTCTTCTATATACAGCTAACCAGCATCATTTGTTGACGACACTGTCTTTTTTCCAGTGTCTATTTCTTGCTTCTTTCTAAAAAATCAAGTGTCCATAAGTATGTATGGACTTATAACTGGGTCTTCAATTGCATTCCATTGATCAATGTATCTGTTTTTATGCCAATACCATGCTGTTTTTATTAGTATAGTTCTGAAGTACAATTCGAGATTGGGGATGGTGATAGCTCCATCAGCTTTTATTCTTCTTCAGGATTGGCTTAGCTATCCTGATTTTTGTGTATACACACATACATACCATACGCACACACAGCATATAGATAGCTTGGGATATGTATGTATATAGATATCATATTTATATATCTTGGGATACACACACAGTAGTTTCCCTGATTCCTTTATCAGTCTGTTTGTCATTTGTATTTGTGTGTGTGTGTGTGTGTGTGTGCATTAATTTGTATCCAGGTACTTTGCTACAAGTGTTTATCAGCTGTAGAAGTTTCCTGGTAGAGTTTTTAGGGTCTTTTATGTATAAAATCATATTGCCGCCGGGCGGTGGTGGCACAAGCCTTTAATCCCAGCACTTGGGAGGCAGAGCCAGGCAGATCTCTGTGAGTTCGAGGCCAGCCTGGGCTACCAAGTGAGTTCCAGGAAAGGCACAAAGCTACACAGAGAAACCCTGCCTCGAAAAACCAAAAAAAAAAAATAAAAAGAAAAAGAAAAATCATATTGCCTTCAAACAAGGTATTTTGATTTCTTCCTTTCCTGTTTATGTCCACTTGATTTCCTTCAGCTGTCTTATTGTTCTAGCTAAGACTTCAAATACTGTATTGAATAGGTATGGAGAGAATGGAGAGAATGAGCATGGATAACCTTGTCTTGTTCCTGACTTTAGCGGAAATGCTGTGAGGGTCTGTTTAGGTTGATGTTGGCTGTGGGATTGCTGTCAACCACCTTTATGATGTTGAGGTACAATCCTTGTATCCCTAGTCTTTCCAGGACTTTTATCATGAAGCAGTGTTGGATATTTTCAAAGGCCTTTTCGCATCTAATAAGACCATCATGTGGTTTTTGTCTTTCAGTCTGTTTATATGGTGGATTACATTTATCAATTTACACATGTTGGACCATCACTGGATCTCTGGGATGAAATCTACTTGATCATGATGGATGATCTTTTTGATGTGTTCTTGGTTTTGTTTGCCAGGTATTGTATTGAGTATATTGCATCTATGTTCATAAAGGAAATTGGTCTGTAATTGTCTTTCTTTGTTGAGTCTTCATGTGGTTTAGGAAATCAGGAAAATTGTAGCCTCATAGAAAGAATTAGGCAATGTTCTTTTGCTTCTGTTATGTGGAATAATTTGAGTAGTATTGGCATTAATTCTTTGAACATCTGGTAGGATTTTGTGTTGAATCCATTTGGCACTAGACTTCTTTTGGTTGAGACTTTAGTTTCTACTTCTATTTCACTAGGGATTATAGGTCTGTGTCTTAGGGTTGCTGTGACCATGGCAACTCTAAATTGGGGGTATGCTTATAGATCCAGAGGATTATTTCATTATCATCATGGTGGGAAGCAGACAGGCATGGAGCTGGAACAATCAGTCAGCAGACAGAGATAGAGGACACTGGCCTGGGGTAGGTTTTTTAAATTTAAAGCCCATCCTCAGTGACACACCTCCTCCAAAAAGGCCACACCGAATCCTCTCCAGACAGTCCATCCAATGGGACTAAGCCCACACATGAGACCGTGGGGGCCAGGCTCACGCAAACCACTAGTCTATTTAATCTATGGTTTAATTAAACCACGGCCTATCTGATCTTGATTTGACTTTGGTGGTGGTACATATCAAGAAATTTACCCATTTCTTTTAGGTTTTCCAGTTTGGTAGAGTGTACAGATTGTTTATTGAGATAGTGTTTTTCTGTGTAACAGCCCTGGAATGTACTTTCTAGACCAGGCTGGCTTTGAACTCACAGAGATCTGTCTGCCTCTCCTCCGGAGTGCTGGAACTAAAGGTGTGCACCATCACCGCCTGTCTGTATTTTTTTAAAAGTATGTTAAAGGTTGAGCTTTGAACCAGGCATCCTTTGCACTGAGGCCTGCACCTGACTTTGGCTGCATGTTCAGACTCCCTCGTTTCTGTGGATGAAACACCCTGACCAAAGGGTTATTGTAGTTCACAATTCCAAGTTTCAGTTCATCAGAGCAGGGAGGTCAGAGCACCAGGATCTTTGGACAGCTAGTCACATCACATCCACAGTCGTGAACAGACCTATGCATACAGGCCTGCTCACTACTCCACTTCCTTCTGGAGTCTTACGCAGTTCAGAACCCAAATCCAGGAACTTCCCACAGTGGGCATGTCTAACCTCTCAGGTAACACAATCCAGACAGTCACCCAGGCCAACCTGTTCTTGGCAACGTCCGATTGAGACTCTCTTCAGCTGATTCCACATTGTGTCATGTTGACAAAATTAACTAGCATACTATCCTCTGCTGAGGGTTTGTTGGCCTGTATCTGTTTTGTGGTACTGGGAGTCGAACCCAGGACCTTGCCCGTGCTGTGCTCTAGCTCTACACCAGGCTATCTGCTCTTAATATACATACGTACATACGTCTATGTATGTATATTTAAATTTGTTGAGACAGAGTTTCACCCATTATCCAGGTCAGGCTGGCCTCGAACTCAGAGATTCATCTCCCTCTTCCTCCCGAGTGCTGGGACTAAAGGCATGCATAATGCCTGACCCAAAATTTTCTTTTTATCATATTGTATTTTGTGTGTGTTCCAGTTCTGTTTCTGTTGCTGTGATAAAATCCATGATCAAAAGCAACTTGGAGAGGAAACAGTTTATTTAGCTTATGTGTCCCAATTATAGTTGATCAGGGCAGGACCTATGAAGTACAGTTGCTTACTGGTTTGCATAAACTACTTTTTCTTTTTGGTTTTTCGAGACAGGGTTTCTCTACAGAACCCTGGAACTCACTCTGTAGACCAGGCTGGCCTCGAACTCACAGAGATCAGCCCGCCTCTGCCTCCCAAGTACTGGGATTAAAGGTGTGTGCTATCACTACCCTGCTTCAAACTATTTTTTTTTATTTATTTCATGTGCATTCTTATTTTGCCTGTATGTATGTCTGTGTGAAGGTGTCAGATCCCCTGAAACTAGATTTAATGGTAGTTGTGGGTTGCCATGTGGTTCCTGGGAATTGAACCCAGGTCCTCTGGAAGAACAGCCAGTGCTCTTAACCTCTGAGCCATCTCTCCAGCCCCCAAACTACTTTTCTTCTATACCCCAGACCCACTTGCCTAGTCTGGCACCACCCATAGTGGGCTAGGCCTTCCTGCATCAGTTAGCAATGAAGAAAATGCCCACAGGGCAAGAGAATCCCTTTTGCCAGAATAGTTTTTGTGTCAAGTGGACACAAGAAAGCTAACCAGCACAGTGTTGTGTGTGTGCGCGTGCATGTGCATGGAGGTCAGAGGACAACCTGTGGGCGTCAGTTCTGTCCTTCCACCGTGTGGGTACGAGGAATTGAACTCAAGCCATCAGGTTTGTTTAGCAGCGAGGGCCTTTATCCTCTGAGGCCAAACAGATCCCTCTTTTTTGAAGACAGGGCCTCACTCTTCAGCCATGCTAGACAGATGTAGATGACGAGGGCCTCAAATTCGAACTCTTTACAATTCCTGCCTCAGCCTTCCAAGTGCTGGGATTTCAGCTTGTGTGAGCACAGACACACCAGGACCTGTTGACCTAAAGGTTTGAGACCAACTGGATGCAGGGTGAGGGCGTGTTCTACTCACTACTTAATAAGCGTCCCCAATTTAAGAGACCAAAATCCTTGTAAAGTGATGGTATAAGGCACAGGGAAAGCAGGGCTAGCGCTGAGTCTGGGGAGGCCACGTCCACTGAACTAGCACCGCCAGAACCTATCGATCGATCGGGGTACCACCGTGAGCACCGTGAGAACGGCAGAGATTGATCAATGGGCCGAACGCACTTTGAATGGGGTAGGACAGAAGGCGGTCCCACAAGAGGACCCGCAAGCCTCCTCGTTTAGTCATCTTAACTTTTGCCTGTAAAAAAGTGCTTCATCAGTTCAGGTCTGTACTTTTTCCCTCCGACCCCAACGGTAACAGATATGGAGAAGTTTCACAAAACCCGCATCAGCGTTAGTACGCTTTCTAGCAGATGAGGCATTCACCCGGGCCGCTCTCCTCTTTGGGGTCCTTCACACAGCATTCCGCGGGTTTGCGGCCGAACAGAAGCTCCAGCCAATGAGCTTCGCCGAAATGAGAGGTGGGCGGGACGTGTTCTTAAAGGACCCGCATCCCGAGAGAAGAGCAGAGGGTGACCCGGATGATGGCGGCCGGTGCGGCAATAGCCCTGGCCCTGTGGCTACTCCTGCCATCAGTAGGAGTGGGAGAGGCGGGGCCGCCGCCCATTCAGGACGGCGAGTTTACTTTCCTGCTTCCCGCGGGGAGGAAGCAGTGTTTTTACCAGTCCGCGCCGGCCAATGCTAGTTTGGAGACTGAGTACCAGGTGAGAGGGTCCCGGACTCGGCATACAGCGTAGGACCAGGAGGGGGTGTGGCCAGCCGGCAGGAGGGGCGGGGACTGGGCGTGGCCGGGATGCCTGCAGTCTTGCTGCCAAGGGGCTCTCTGCTGGAAGTTCTTCGGGTTGGGTCCAAGGGAGTGCCCTGGCGGCTACCGGTTGGTGCCCACTGTAAGCTCGCAGCTAGCTAGACGCCCACCTTGGACTGCCAAGGGGGTGGCGGGATGGCCTGATGAAAGACCTCACCTGGTGGCGTCTTAGGGACCAGGAAGGGACCTCGCAGGTGTGGCTATGGGTGCTCAGGCCCTTGGGGGCAGCCAGAAGGCTCAGTGGGTAAAGGAGCTTGCAGCTAAACCCGAAGGCCTGAGTTTCGTAACTCTATGGTAGAAGTAGAGAAGCGACGCCTGTAAGTTGTCCTCTGACAGCCAGTCACTGCTCCCCTCCCCCAAACAGGTACGTTTTGTTTTTAAGATAGGCTCCTGGTGGTCTCAGGTGGGTCGTTTCCAGTTTGGTTCAACCCAGGCCTTCTGTGGAAGACAGACTTGGCCCAAACCTGCCTGTCCCCCAACTCTTACCTGCTCTTCAGGTGATTGGAGGAGCTGGACTGGACGTGGACTTCACCTTGGAGAGCCCTCAGGGTGTGCTGTTGGTCAGTGAGTCTCGAAAGGCTGATGGGGTGCACACGTGAGTGAAGTCTTGCCCTGTCTTGGTTCAGTTACAGCCCTGCAGCTCCCCAGTGGCCTCGGGTTACCATCCCACTGGCTCCACAGAGCAGCTGGCTGGTCACTGCAGGGTCATGTCTGTGTGTCTCGTCTGTCTGCCCAGGGTGGAGCCTACTGAGGCTGGGGACTACAGGCTGTGCTTTGACAACTCCTTCAGCACCATCTCTGAGAAGCTAGTGTTCTTTGAGCTCATCTTTGACAGTTTCCAAGACGAGGAGGAGGTGGAAGGTTGGGCGGAAGCTGTGGAGCCAGAGGAGATGCTTGATGTCAAAATGGAAGACATCAAGGTGAGTTGGGTGTGGTAGTGCATGCTTGTAATCCCCGCACTCAGGAGGCTGAGGCAGGATTCCAGTGAGTTCAAGACCAACCTGGGCTACATAGCAAGATCCCATCTTACAAATCCAAAAGAAGCAGGGTGGTGGTGGCACATGTCTTTAATCCTAGTACTTAGGAGGCAGAAGCAGGTGGATCTCTGGGAGTTTGAGGCCAGCCTGGTCTTGAGCTAGTTCCAGGCAGCTAGATCTGTTACACAGAGAAACCCTGTCTCGAAAAACCAAAAAGTCTTTACCTAAAAACAAACAACATAAAGGGGAAAAAAATGAAAAACAAAACAAAAAACAACAACAAATCCCTGTTTCTAGGAGAGGCTGTGAGACATGAAGCCAGAGAGGCACATTGACTTGCTGATGGTCACACAGTGAGTGTGACCAGTGAGTGGCCTGAGTGAGGATTTGACCCCTTCCTCTCCATGCCCTGGCAGGAATCCATAGAGACTATGAGGACCCGGCTGGAACGGAGCATCCAGATGCTGACTCTGCTCCGAGCCTTTGAGGCCCGTGATCGGAACCTTCAAGAAGACAACCTGGAGCGGGTCAACTTCTGGTCAGCTGCCAATGTGGCTGTGCTGCTGCTGGTGGCCGTCCTGCAGGTCTGCACACTCAAGCGCTTCTTCCATGACAAGCGTCCTGTACCCACGTAGCCCCAGCCACAGAAGATGAACGAAACAACGGAGGGAACAGGCATGTGTGACTTGCTGGAGACCGCCCAGACTCAGAGAAGCTGCAGCTGGGTTCTCAGCAGTGGCCCCATGTCCCCCTTCCTGGATGAGCGGGGAGTGCAAGTGGACTGCAGACCCCTTGGAGGGAGGTTCAGCAACAGTGCCTGTTTCTTGGAAGCTGGAAGTGTTGGGCACTGCAGTTGGGGATGTATGGCTCTCAGATGCCCTGGTTTTCTCCTGAAATTGTGCCTTAGCTTAAGTCTTCCAGCCACCAGGATGGGGTCATGCTGCGCAGCTGTCTCTTGCCCAGTGGGATACACCCACCCTCAGTGTCTCCACTTTGCTCCTGGGGATAAGTAAGACCTTGCTAGGGTCTGGGAAGGAGACACATCTGCAGAGTTCTTGCCAGGACAGTCACTTTTATTTGATAGGAAGGAGTCCTGGCCCAGAGGGGAGCCAGCTGGTTGGGGGATCTGGTAACAGAACTCCAAGAGGGGCCCCTTCCTCCTCTCAGAGTGCAGGGTCTCAGAGGGCTGAGATGCAGCCCCACCAAAGCCTGCCTGCGAGCCTCAAGGAACAAAGGGCATCTGTCCTGGGCACTGGAGTCAATAAATTATGGTCAGAAACATTAATAGTGCCTGCTGACTGGGGCTCAGGGAAATCAGCCTGGGGCAGACCTAGCCTCAAGGCAGGGCAGCCAGGAAGGCGGGAGGGCACTCCCACGAAGCTCAGAAGAAAGGTCGGGCAGGAGCCGATGGAGGTGGTCGCCTGGCACGAAAGAAAAAGATCATAAAGCAAAGTTGAATGGCGTCCCCTAGAGAGCTAGTGGGGGACCTGGAAGTGGGCGTGGCCACAGTGCCACTGAGGGCGTGGCTACAATGCCTGTTTCCTATGAGCATGATGGGGAGGTGGTAGGGGGTTTGGAAGGGATGACAGAAGACACACATGGAAATGAGCGAAGGGCAGCCCCAGGACAGGGTGGACAGTCTCCCTTTGGGCTGGGACAGACACAAAAGGCCCACACACACACAGCCACCAGAGGGGCTTCCCTTTATTTAGTTTATTAATAGGATATACAGAGGCAGGCACTTAACAGTGGTCAAACCAAGCAGTGGGAACGGCGTCTGCACAGAGGCACCAGGGCCCACCCTGTGGGGAGGGCTGGCTGGGAGCCAAGAAGCCCCTGATGTCTCCCCAGCTCACACAGCCCAAACCACGTTGGGGCTGAGGAGAGTGAGGCAGGCCAGAGCTGAGGAACTCCAGGCCTAAGGAAGGCACAAAGGCGCCTCTGGCTGTCGAGTCTGGGCTGGGCTCAGGTGGTGCGGTTAATATGGCCAGAGAAGATATATATACAGCTCGAGCCGGGGGTGGCCACACTGGGCCCCCTGGGCCTGGCTCCCCCCGGAAGAGCCCTCAGGAAAAGTTGGGCAGTTCCTGTACCCTAAGAACACACAGGCTTGCAGTCTGTGGGGAAGCCCCTGTAGAGTTCCCCTACACCAGCCTGAATTTTTCTTTCCAGATGGTCCCAAGGATGCCAACCAGAGGGCTCTCCTTGTCCCAAAGTGCAAAGTCCCCATGTCCTGCTTTCTGGGGCTCCCACCCTCCCATCACTGTCATGTCCACCGGGCTAGGGAGGAGAGGGAGGGTTGCCCACAGGGAGCCTGGTCCCAGCAGGGGCAGGGCAGTAGTGGGGCCCAGACCACCAAAGCTCTCCTGCACTGTGGGTGCGCGAGGAGCCCCAGAACACGGCCCCTGCAGCCTAGTCGAGCAGGGAGGGCTCGGCTGGGCGGATAATGGTGGGCCGGCTGGGCGCAGCGGGCGCTCTTCTGCTGCAAAGAGAGTAAAGACATGGGGAGGTGGGGGGCAGTGAGGCCGGGAGCAGGGGAGCAGGGAGGTGAGGACCCAGCCCCTCCAGCCCACCCAGGGTGCTCCCGGAGTTGGGGCACCAGGAGGGAGCCGATCAAATCCAGGTGTGTTTTCTCTGGTATCCCTGTGGCTTGCTTGGGAGGAGCTGGTCCCTTCCTTCCAGCAAGAGGGTCCTGGGGACTGAACTGCACTTTGACTAGAGGAGGTGGTGTCCTGCTTCCCCGCCCTCCCTGGGGCTCAGAAACGGAGACAGAGTCTAGCTCACCAGGCGTCAGTGACACATGGTGCCCAGGGTTAGGGGACATGGAACCTGCTGCTCAGAGGATAGGCCAGGAGCCCTGGCGTCTGCTGATCCACTCTCCTGTGGCACTGGCTAAGTGGGGTGGGCCACTCTAGGGCTCAGTTCCTCCCTCGGCACACACACTACTCGGGCTATACCGGAAGTCAGCAGAAGGAGGGAGTCGGTCACCACAAAGGGACCCCAGGATGCAGGCTGCACCTTACCTGGGCACTCCTGGTGGGATACCAGGGGGAATCCGTGCTGGCCGAGATGGTATCTGAGGTGGCGCTGAGAAGGGGTCATTGTTGGCAAACACGCTCTGTGGTCCAGGCCGGGATGGGATGGGGGGTGCCGAGAAGGAGGCTGTAGGCCCCACAGGCACAGGAATCAGGGGGGGCCCTGGTGTGGGACCCCGCACTGCAGGAGGCCGGCCTGGTGGGTGCACGCTGGACACAGGTCGGCGCTGTGGGGTGGGGCTGTGGAGGAGAGAGAGGCTTGAATCCAGAGGATACTCTGAACACCCACTGTAAGGGACTAAGATGGGGGGCAGAGGCACTGGGAACCACCAGCCTGAGCCACACCATTCCAAGTTACTGGGGGTCCCTGTGTGCTGACGGTAAAGCTTGGAAGGGCAAGTGTGTCGAGATTGCTGCACTTGGACACGTACAGCCCAAGACCCTGTCAGAGCCCAGCCCTGGTCCCCAACGTGTGGCCCTAGGTCTCTCTGTGAGGCACCTGCCTGCCCTGTTCCCCACTGGGCCTAGAGACCTGATCCTCCCAGGTCTGGGCTCTGGTCCTCTTCCTGAAGTCTCAGTGGGTGCACTACACTGACTCCCCCGACTGTGGCTGCTTAGATGTCTGTGTTTGCCTTCTAGAACTTCCCCTGTGCCCTTCTCTAGGATCTCGGAGGCTGACCTGTGGTGACTGTCCTGCCTCTGGGCTTCTTGCCCTTGGCTTCTACTTGGACTTAACCCATAGAGAAAGCACTAGAAGATAAAAAGGCTGGTGGGGAATTACAATGTGTGTGGTTTTTTTCCCCCAAGGATCTGGCTCAGATTGGCCCGTGGAAGCCATGGCTACCCTTGTGGCTTTAGGCAGGACAGGTTCTCAGGTCTGTGTGTTGTGCCCTGCCCATCCTTCAGTTGTGGCCTATCTCCTGATGGGACGGAGGGAACAGAAAGGGTGGAGCAGGTATGGGCTCATCAGGGGCAAAATGCCCTCCAGACCTGTGGCCACTGGTGTTCTGGAGCCAAGTGTCATCGACAGGTGGGGGCACAGGCGTGGACACGGTGCTGGTACTGATGTCCCCAATGATGTTGAGTGCTTCCTTGAGCGCGTGGTACATGCGCAGCATGTCGTCTCGTCGCTGGGCCTGCTCAGCTGACTCTTCCATGAGGCTGCTCTGGTCTGCTGAGGAGTATAGGTAAGCCAGCAGCTCATGGTGGATGAAGGCCTTTGTCTGAGGACAATGGGGGGAGAGGTCAGATCCTCCCATTAGCCAAGAACTCAGAAGCCTAACGTGACTAGAAAAGCATCCATCACAGGCTGAGGTTTAGCCACAGAGCTAAAATCAATCCCCCAGTGAGGGGCTGGGGTGTGGCTCAGTGGTAGAGCCCCTGCCTAGAATCCCCAAGTGAGGGGCTGGGGTGTGGCTCAGTGGTAGAGCCCCTGCCTAGAATCCCCTAGTGAGGGGCTGGGGTGTGGCTCAGTGGTAGAGCCCCTGCCTAGAACCCCCAGTGAGGGGTAGAGGTGCAGTTCAATAATCCAGTGTTTGCCTAACATGCACCATGACCTGGGTTCAATCCCCAACATCACAAAAGCCAACTAACCAACAACAAAAACAAAACAAAAAGCTACCTCAACAAACCAACTTGCTCTAACTTTGCAGGACTTATTTTAAAATTAAGTTTCTGTTGTTTTCCTTAAAGATTTTTTATTAATGTATTTTCTGTATATGAGTGCTCTATCTTCATGCACACCAGAAGAATCAGATCCCACTGTAGATGGCTGTGAGCCACCATGTGGGTGCTGAGAATTGAACTCAGGACCTCTGGAAGAGCAGCCAGTGCTCTTAACTGTCACCTCTCCAGCCCTTAATTTGTTCTTAATGTTATCCCCCCCCCCCCTTTCTTTCTTACAGCCCTGGCTGTCCTGGGACTTGCTTTGGAGACCAGTCTGACCTTAAACTCATCCTGCCTCTGCCTCCTGAGTGCTGGAATAATGTTATGTATTATTACTCTGTTGTATGTGGGTCATAGTGTGCATGTCAGAGGACAGCTTTGTGGAGTGAGTTCCAGGGCCTTTACCTGAGCCACCTTGCCTGCCTTGGTTTTGATTTCAGAGACAAGGTCCTACATAATCAAAGACACCCTCAAACTGGCTATGTATCTGAGAATGATGGTGAACTTCTGATCCTCCTGCCTCCACTGTCTGGTGCTGGGCAGGCAGGTGTACACTTCAAATGCCTGGTCTTTGTGGTGCTGTGGCTGGATCGCCTGGCCAGCTCAGCTAGCTCTTGGCTACCTTGGAGCTTCCACTCACATTGTTGATCATGAGGTGCATGATGGTCTTTGGCATGAGGTCTCGGATGGACTTGTTGATGATGGCCACATAGGAGTCCACCAGGTTCCGGATGGTCTCCACTTGTCGTTCTAGCTGCGGGTCCATGGAGAAGGTGTTCTCCTGTGCTCCATCCTCATTCTCTGCCTGCAAGGGACACAGAGGAGGTGAGCACAGCTCAAGAGCTGTTGTGGAGTCCCCCTCTTGGGAACTATGTGCCTGCCCTGCCGACGGCCCTGTTGGACACCAGGTGTCTGTGCTGGGGTATACTGGTTAAAGCCAGGCAGGACTCTTTTCCCAGGGGAAGGGGGGGAACCCAGTGTCCCTGGGGATGCCCAGGATTCTGTTGGGACTTCACTGCAAGGACAGGAAGAGAAGAGAAAACAAGGCAGATGAGAGTCCCAAGTCTACCTGTCTTGCAGGCCATCATGGAATCCGCTGGAGAACTTTCTGGATCCTAATGAGAAACCGAGCCCAACTCTGACTCACTTGGTTCAGTGGGTGTCAGCTATGTGTCCTGTGTTGATGTATGTGTACATCAGTGTATATACCATGTGTGTGTGTGCAGATGTTCACAGAGGCCAGAGAGGGTGTCAGACCCCTGGAGCCACCATGTGGCCAGTGCCTTTATCTGCTGAGCCATCTTCCTAGAACAACACACTGAATCTGAAGCTCTGGAAACTTCACCACGTTTGGCTCAGCTGGAGGAGGTAGGTCACTAGGGGTGCATCCCTGGAGATACCTTGGCCCTGCCCTTTCACGTCGCATGGGGCCAAGCAGGGAGCGAGACGGGACACCTCTCCCTAGCTGTGTGTGTCAGGTACTTGTTGATCTGTGTTCGTCTGTGTGTGTGTGTGTGTGTGTGTGTGTGTGTGAGAGAGAGAGAGAGAGAGAGAGAGAGAGAGAGAGAGAGAGAGAGAGAGCATC